TTAGGTGTCTTTTGGCCATTTGAACTTCTTCTGTTGAGAGATCTCTGTTCAGCTCAGTGCCCCATTTTATAATTGGGTTGATTAGCCTTTTACGGTCTAGTTTCTTGAGTTCTTTATATATTTTGGAGATCAGACCTTTGTCAGTTGTGGGGTTGGTGAAGATCTTCTCCCAGTCAGTTGGTTGCCTTTCTGTCTTAGTGACAGTGTCCTTTGCTTTACAGAAGCTTCTCAGTCACAGGAGGTCCCATTTATTCAATGAAGCCCTTAATGTCAGTGCTGCTGGGGTTATACGTAGGAAGTGGTCTCCTGTGCCCACGTGTTGTAGAGTACTTCCCACTTTCTCTTCTATCAGGTTCAGTGTGTTCGGACTGATATTGAGGTCTTTAATCCACTTGGACTTGAGTTTTGTGCATGGTGATAGATATGGATCTATTTTCATTCTTCCACAGATTGACATCCAGTTTTGCCAGCACAGTTTGTTGAAGATGCTCTCTTTTTTCCATTGTATACTTTTAGCTCCTTTATCAAGTATCAGTATGCCTTCCTGAACTCTAGGAGGCAAAGACCTTTCAGGGGAACCAGGAGTGTGTACCGTACCTATGGTTGTTTGGATGGAGAAGGTTCAGGTAGCCCCCACTGTGTGCCAACGGACTGTTGTTGACTTAGAGTCTGTCCCTAGTGATGTAGTTGGCTAAAGACTTCAGTTTGTCCTATTTATACAAAAAAAAAAAATTGAATTCATTAATTTGATGCAACTCTTCTGAGAGTTTGGTTTAGTTAGTTTAGTTAGGCGTGGTTTTGTTGTTGTTAAAACAGGCTTTCATTTGGGAATACAAGGTGGGATTGACCTTTTGGCAGTCCTCCTGCCGCAGCCTCCATGTTGCTGGAATTACAGGCGAGAGCCTCCACATCCTGCTTCTTTCCCTTTTCTGAGCAGCAGGCCTCATTTTCCTACTTGGCTCAGGGGCAGTCTCTCTCCCATCTAAAGATACTTGGGGAGTCTGGGAACAGATACTGCCTAGGTGGACTTGAGGATATAAGGGGGCTCCTTTCTCATTGTAGATCCTTATGGAAGCTTTATCTTAGTCGGTGTTCTGTTGCTATGAAGAGACACCATGACCACAGCACCTCTTCCCAAAGAAAGCATTTATCTCTGGCTGGCTTACAGTTCCTGAGGTTTAGTCTCATTATCATCACGGCGGGAAGCGGAAGCGTGGTGGCAGGCAAGCAGACATGGCGCTGGAGGTGTAGCTGAGAGTTCTGCATCTGGATCCACAGGCAGCAGGGAGAGAGAGACACTGGGCCTGCTTTCAGCTTTTGAAACCTCAAAGCTTACTCTCAGTGACACACTTCCTCCAGCAAGGTCACACCTCTTAAATCCCTTTCAACTAGTGCCAGTCCCTGATGAGCACACATTCAAATATATGAGCCTATGGCGGCCATTCTCAGTCAAACCACCACACTGGGGTAACTTGCTGGGTTTCCATTTCTTCCCTTTTTTTTTTTTTTTTTTTTTTTTNGACAGGGTTTTTCTGTAGCCCTGGCTATTCTGGAACTGGCTCTCTAGACCAGGCTGGCCTCAAACTCAGAGATCTTCCTGCCTCTGCCTTTCACATGTGGTGCTCCAGCTATCTGGGCTGCTCACGCCTTCCATTCATGGCAGAAGTTTGCACAGTTGCAGCTCACACTCACCCTCCAGGGAGTTCAGTTTTTACTTAAGCCCTAGGCCCTACAACTTTTTACATTTATTTATTTATTTTTATTTATTTATTTATTTATTTATTTATTTATTTATTGTTTTTTTTTTTCGAGACAGGGTTTCTCTGTAGCTTTTGGTGCTGGTCCAGGAACTAGCTCTTATAGACTAGGCTGGCCTTGAACTCCCAGAGATCTGCCTGCCCCTTTATTTTTTGAGACAGGATCTCACTATGTATTTTGCTTTGTAGACCAGGCTGGCCTTGAACTCACAGCGAAATGCCTTCCTCTAGGTCCCTAGTGCAGGGTTAAAGGTGTACACCATCAGGCCTGATCCCCCATGAGTTTTATGTGAAACACTGTGTAAGGGTCTTTCCACAGAGACATCGCAGGTAAGAACTATGTGACACATGCCACCGCCATCAAGACACAAGACAGACTGCTCTAAATCTTAGAAGTGGAAGCTCGAGCTGTGCAGTGGTGCATGTTCCTTTAATCCCAGCACTCAGGAGGCAGAGACAGGTGGATCTCAGAGTTCAAGGCCAGCCTGGTCTACAAAGCGAGTTCTAGGCCAGCCAGGGCTGTTACACGAGAAACCCTGTCTTGAAAAATTAAACGGGTTAAAAACAAGCATGTCATCATTAAGGTATTTTATTTATATTTGATCTGAGCTCAGGCTTTGAGGCCACAGAGTAGTGGGCAGTGATAGCCTGGCCAAGCAGAAAAGTGCGAGGCAGTGGAAATGCAGCTGTTCTGTGGAGAGATCTCAGGCTGGGCTCTGGTTGCCATGGCAATGGTCCTGGAGCAGAGAAGCAAGGTGCCCCTCAGCACAAGTCAGAGCAAACCCCATGGGAATGGACATAAATTTCAGTGTGAAATTGAGGGAGTGGATAAGGGTTGGTGAGTTGCCACTGCAGTGTAGGGCCCTCTCTCCCTACCCCTCTGGAGTGATGTTTTTCTGTGTCCCACCGTTTTCTCTAATTGGATGGCAGTTAGAATGAATGAGCACTGGAATGGGCACATCCCTGGTCACTACAAGGTAGATGTGGGCTGTAAATGGAGGTGAGGCCCATTTCATCCTGCGTGAGGACGTGTTTGTAGTGTTGTCCTCATCTCTCTCACACACCCTACAGTCTGAGGCCTCTTTGCTCTGTTCCTGTTTCTCTGGTTTATGACTCTTCTGGGCGCAGATAGCCACGTGCCTGCTGTATGATTGTGACATGACATTGCCCTATCTTCGATTTTGTCCCAGGTTCTGCCTTGGCTCTTCCTGACCCCTTTCCCTCTTTGGGGTCCTTGAAAACAACAGGATGTGGACTCAGAAATCACCTTTAACCTTCTCTGATAATAACTTGACAGAAAGATAGCATGACTTGTGTGTATGACAAGAAAGCACATTTAAGGATTTTATTTAAGCTGGGTGGTGGTGGTGCATGCCTTTAACCCCAGCACTCGGGAGGCAGAGGCAGGCAGGTATCTGTGAGTTCGAGACTAGCCTGGTCTTCAGAGAGAGTTCCAAGACAGCCAAGGATACATTGAGAAAACCCTGTCTTGAAAACCAAAAACAAAAATTTATTCAGGGCTGGAAGTAGTGGCACACACTTTAATCCCAGCATTCAGGAGGCAGAACCAGGTAGATCTCTGGGATTGAGGCCAGCCTGGTCTAATAGGGGTTCTGAGCCTGCCAGATCTACGTAGTGAGATCCAGAACTAATGGAATGGCTTAGATAAAGGTAACGGCCACTAAATAACATCATGAGTTAAGTCCTGGAAAGAAGAGACTTCTGGGGTTGTTGGACCAACACATAGACAAAAATGATGTATTAAGACATTTCTTAGAAAAAATAGTAAAGGTTAGGTATGGCATCCACTGTAGCTCTGGCACTTGAGATGTAGAGATTGGAGAATTAGGAGTTCAAGGACATCCTGGGGTACACAGCAAGTTTCAGGCAGCCTGGCATACATAAGACCTGTCTCAAAATACAGACTTGACAGGACAGTTTACCTCCCAGTTTGAGAGAAGTGATGGGCGCAGCTTTGGCAGTTGCTTGCTTCCTTTGCGACTTCAAAAGGGAGAAGATACCACTCTGTCATTCCAGACTTTTTGTATGATGGACTGTGCTTTAATGCTTATTTGTAATAAAATTCATTCTTTTCTTGGGGAGATATTTTTATTTTAAACTTTATTTACTACATTAACTAAAAGTCTGTAGTTAGTGATAGAGCACTTGCCTAGCATGCACACGGTCCCAGGTTCAATTCCCAGAACTTCCAGGAAACAAAAGTAAACTGTTGACTGAACACTACTTTAAAAAGTAAATAAAATAAAATCAGTTAAAAGGCTGTGACTGTGGAGCTCATTGTTCGCCTCGTGTGCACGAAGCCCTGGGTTCAACCCCGAGCACCACATAAACTGGGTGTGGCGGTAACCTTAGCACTGGGGATGGAGTGGAGGGAGACCAGAGAAGTAAGGCCGTTGGTTATGTAGGCCTGTAACGTTCTCATCAGCCAAAAGCCTCTGTCTTTATGTGGTCTATTAATTTTGGCATAGTAATTAGTGATAATAAGGATAATGTCTTAGTTTGCTTTTTTCTTTCTGTGCTAAAACATTCTGACTGAAAGCAGTTTGGGGAGGAAAGGGCTTAAGTGGCTCACACTCCACATCACAGTCCATCACTGAGGGCACTTGAGGCAGAAATGGAAGCAGATGCCCTAGAAGAACTCTGCGTACAGTCTCACTGGCTTGCTCACTTTGCTTTCTTCTTTCTTTTTTGTTATTTCGAGACAGGGTTTCTCTGTGTAGCTCTTGCTGTCCTGGAACTCTCTCTGTAGACCAGTCTGGCCTCGAACTCACAGAGATCACCTGCCTCTGCCTCCTGAGTGCTGGGATTAAGAGGTGTGTGCTGTCACCACCCAGCTCAGTTTGTTTTCTTGTACAAACTGGGATCACCTGCCCAGCGTTGGACCCTCCCACATCAACTATCAATCAAGAAAATGCCTCACAGGTTTGCGAAAGGTCGATCGGATGGAGGCATTTTCTTGGCTGAGGTTCCCTGGTCCCATATGTCCCTGGCTGTGTCAAGTTGACAGAAAACTGACCAGTACTAGTAGCAATGCATGGTAAAATAAGGAGAGGTCTATGCCATAGGGTAGAGGACAGGTACTCATTCGGTAAGAGCAGACCTTGGTGTGCAGGAATAGAGAAGCGGGAGGCCGGTGGACCACAGGGTCTGCTCTAAGTCTACAAGAACTTGTCAGTGTGTTCACCCCTCTGCTTCCCAGATGCCCCTACCTGCATCGAACAACTGGGGACACTGAGCGCAAGTACCACCTGCGCTACTACAAGACAGGCACATGTATCCATGAAACAGATGCACGGGGCCACTGTGTGAAGAATGGCCTGCACTGTGCCTTCGCACATGGGCCCCTGGACCTGCGGCCACCTGTGTGTGATATCAGGTGAGCTTCCTCCCTTGCTGCTTCTGGCATCTTTGCTTCAAAGCATCTCTTTCTGAGCCCCAGTTTGGGGATAGGATCTCCTGTGTATGCCACACTGGCCTCAAACTGGCCTCCTATCATTCCTCGAGTGCTAAGATTACAGAGTTTGCCATTGTTACAGTTTATGGTGGCTAAGGGTCAAACTCAGGGTTTCATGCATGCCATGCAAGCACTCTACCCATGGAGGCCTGTCCCTGGCCGCCCCAATCTGTTCTCACTGTTTCCTTGTGTATTGTGAGCCACAATTAGGGACGGTGGTTTAATGCTTTCCGTCTAGACGGATGAACACCATATGTGCCTAGCTGCTGTGGAAAGTAGATCCTATCTGAGCTCACGCCTATAATGTCCTAACACTTGGGAGACTGAGTCAGGCTCAGGCTGCCACAGGTTCAAGCCCTGTCTGCAATATAGGGCAACAGTAAATACCAGGGTGTTCTGGGCTACAGCAGAGCGAGTCCCTCTACTCCTCAAATGCATTTAATCTCAGCACTCAGGAGGCAGAGGCAGGCAGATCTCTTTAAGTTTCAGAACAGCCTGGTCTACGTAGCAAGTTCTAGGAGTGCCAGGATTACATTGACCCTGTCTGAAATGGAAGGAGTGGGGGCAGATCCTTTGTAAATGAACCAGCTCTAAAATTGCAATTTGAGATAGAACTGGTGTCCTAAGACTGCTCCTGTGTTTACTGCCACTGTAGTCTGGCCCTAAACGTCCAGGTAGTGCCAGTGAAGTGCCAGTCACGTGACTTCAGAGTCATCGATTCCGCTGACTTTCCCCACCTCTAGGGACATTCAGGCTATAACTGCTGTGCTGTGCTATGCTATTGGTTACAGGGAGCTTCAGGCTCAGGAAGCCCTGCAGAATGGCCAACTCAGTGGTGGGGATGGTGTACCTGATCTGCAGCCTGGAGTCTTGGCCAGCCAGGCCATGATCGAGAAGATCCTGGGTGAGGATCCCCGGTGGCAAGGTAAGGGGAGAGTTGTGACCTTTCACTTGGTACATAACCTGCAAGAGGATTGAATGGAAAATCAGGTTCCGCAGTCCACTGCTAGCCGTCAACCATTTAGGAAACAGATGGCCAAAGGGGATTTGAACCCAGCCATCTGGTCCCCGACTGTGCTGGCCCCATTCCACCTGGCGTCTTTGTGGGTGGTGCTGGTTGGCTGTGGGGTTGAGGGAAGTGTTCAGGGACCACAGTAACTTCCAGGCAGCGTGTTCCAGCACATTGCTAGCTATTGTCTGCTGTCACCTACCCCATTAAAGTCGGGTCCACCTGCCTAAACCTGGGTTTCTGTATGTCTGGAGCTTAAATCAGATGTTTGTCTGTCCTTGACTTGTCCCTTGGAGCTGTGAAATCTATATTCCCTGCAGGCTCCATGAACGATAGTTGTGAAGAGTAAAAGTCTAGTTTTGTGGTAAAAGATAAAAAAAGATAAAAGGCATAAAAAGCAGCCTTTTAGGGGCTTGGGGGATGGGAGGAAAGTGCTTGTTGTATAAGTGTTGGGATCTGAGTCTGATGCCCAGGATCCCTTAGAAAGCCTGAGAGCTACAGTGCAGGCCTTCAGGCCAAGCCCCGGGGAGGTGGAGGCAGGAGGATCTTAAAGGCTTGTTACCCAGCCAGTTCAGCCAGTTGGTAAGCTCTGGGTTCCAAACAGTAAGTTGAGAGCACTGCTGCTGTTGCAGAGGACCAGAGTGTTTCCCAGCATCCACATGGCTGCTCACAACGGCCTGTAACTCCAGTTCCAGGGGCCTCCATGGGCACCAGGCACACACATGGTCCACAGACACACATGCAGACGAACACTCCTGCACATGAAGTAGTGCTGAGGTGGGAGTGCTAAAGGAAGACACTTGACTCAGCCTCTGGCTCCACGCGTGCTCTCAAGGACGTGTACCCACACACACAGAAATTCCATGGTAAGGGGTGGTCGTGTGCTACCCATGGTCTGTGAAGGTTTTTCTGTTTGTTGTTGTTCTGGTTTGGTTTGGTTTTGGTTTCTCAAGACAGGGTTTCTTGTGTAACCTTGGCTGTCCTGGAACTTGCTATAGAGATCCTGCTTCTGCCTCCAGAGTGCCGGGATCAAAGACCCGTATCTGTCAGCATACATGGTTATTGTTTTTTAAGATTTGTTTTTATTATTTTCTTAACTATGCATATCTATGGGGGGTATGTCCAGTCTGTGATGTTTTGGGAAATATATTCAGTCTTGATGCACCCCCTCCGACTTGGTCTGCTTAGGGCTTTCTAGTTTGTAATTAGTGCATTCACACTGTAACTAGTCCAGCTGTGGACTGTCTCCCTGCAGTCTTCTTCCCTCGTGTATAAAGTGAGTTGAGCTAGGGGCCAGAGGCTGGGATAAATTAATAGCATGACTGTGGAGCTGTTTCTGACTCCGTGTCCACTTCTTACTGTGGTTCTCCCGCTATGCTGGCTGGCAGCACTGAGATTCACACTGCGCTCTCTTCATGCCCCACCTGGCTCGGTGCTGACAAGCTATGGCCTGTTACTACATTGGAGAGGAGAGGGGACACTGCCTGCCCAGTCTCTGTTGCAGAGGGAGACTCCAGTGGCCTGTCCCAGAGTCGGGGACAGGGTGTGATATTCGGCTAGAGGATGTGGCAGCAGCTTCATGTCTGGCTTTGTTTTTATCTCCTTTCTGCTCTATTCAGCAGCCTCCCTGTTGGCAGGGTATGTTCTCCTCTGCCAAGTGGGCATCTGATCCAGTGTCACAGGTGGGAGGCGAGAACCCCCGTCCCTGTTAGACTTAGCTGAGGACTTAGCTGAGCAAGAAGGAAAGACAGGAGGTGATTTTTATGGATCTTTATTCATGTTTTTATTTGCTTGGGGCTTTGCTTTGTTTTGTTTTTAAGATAGGGTCTCACTAATGTAGCCCAGGCCAACCGTGAACTCATAGAGATAGGCGTGCCTCTGCCTCTCCAGTACTGGAATGAAAGGTGTGTACTACCATAGTCAGCCTCAAAGTTAACTTTTGTTTTGAGACAGGGTTTTTCTGAGTAGCCCTGGCTGTCCTGGAACTAACTCTATAGACCATACTGGCCTCGAACTCAAAGATCCAACTGCCTCTACCTCCCAGGTGCTGGGATTAGGGCATGTGCCACCACCACCCAGCATGAAGTTAAATCATTTTTAAAATGAACGTTGATGATACACACTTTGTGAGTCCAGCACTCAGGAGGCTGATGAAGGACGATTATGAACTGAAGCCCCGCCTAGGCTACATAGCAAGAGTGTTTCATAGAGTTAACATAGATATTGAGCTGGGTTTGGCTGGTATATACCTGTAATCTTACCACTTGGGAGTCTGGGTCTGAGCAAGATTGCAAAATCTAGGCCAATTTGATCAATTAATGGGATCCTGTCTCAAAATAGAAAGTAAAAAGAGAGTTGAGTTTGTGTAACTCTGTATAAGATCACTTGCCTGGGCTCGGTCCTAGGTTCACTCCCAGCACCTCCCTAACAAAAGATCCAAGGTTTAATCTCCAGCACAATCCAAGGGAGCATGGTGGCTAACACCTCTGATCCCACCACCAGGGAGATAGACACGGGAGGTTAAAGCCAGCCTGGATTGCATGTAATGTGTTTGTTTTGTTTTGTTTGTTTTAAAATGTTAAAGCGTTTTTGAAAGTAGGAATTTCTTCTCCTCCATCACCATCATTAGAGATGGGGGTGGCATCCAAATGCTGTGGTCTTGGGTAGCAGTCAGAGGACAACTTGTGGGGATCAGTTCTCCCCTTCCACTGTGGGTTCCAGAGTCTGTGTTCAGGTGACCGAGTTTATGCAGATAGCTGAGCTATCTTGCTGGCCTAAGAGTACTGTGTTCACAGCAGACTGAGGGGGAAACCCAGGCCTGTGCTCCTGTGCACACCAGCCTTACCAACAGCATCCACAGTAGAGCCAGATAGCAGGTGCCTCGGGTAGACCTACACTGGCCCTTCGTCCGTCACCCAAGCTTGTCGAGATTAGAGTTACATCTCAGAAAGCTGTTTCTTAAGGTGATAGAAGTAGTTCAAGAAAGAAAAGACATTCCTGAGAATGGGAGTGGGTCAGTGAGCTGGGGACAAGCATTTTCTCAGAAAAGCTGTTTTCGTTGTTGGCTTGTGTGCGTGTGGTGGGGAGGAGGTAGGTATGTGCGTGCCTGTGAATATGTGTTTGTGGGCAGATGCTGTGTGTCTGGTTATATGCAGAAGCCCAAGGTTCACATCAGCTCTCATCCTCTGTCACTCTCTCTTCTTATTCATTGACACAAGGTCTTTGAGTTGTACCCACAGCTCACTGGGTCTGCATTCTGAGCGATGGAATTATAGGCAGATTCTCATGCCTGTGTGGGATTTACATAAATTCTGGGATCTGGAGTTGATCCTCATGGTTGCACAGCAAGTGCTTAAGACCACTAACCGTGTCCTCAGCCTGTCAGTGACTTTAATACGGCCACACAAGTGTGATCGTCACTTCACTGCCATTTCAGTTCCTTCCTTTTTGAGGGAGGGCTTCGTTTCACTAAGACTGGCCTTGATCCCTGTCTTCTGGTGACCTTCCATCTCCGGGTTTCCCTACTGTGTACATATTATGTATGTTGGTCATACTTACAGCCTTGTACCTGGCATCTCCTACTGTGTATAGTGTCTTTGGGGGCAATCCATAGTAAGTCCATTAGGGCTGGTCCTTCCTGACAAGTGAGCTGTGTTTGATTATCTACTCAGTGGTGATGGATGTGTCTGGACTTTAAACTGCTATGCCTGATGTAACTGAGCACTCAAGGCCAGGTTTTCTTGCATCTGTTTTACAGACAGTAACTTCGTATTGGGAAGCTATAAGACAGAGCAGTGCCCAAAGCCACCACGCCTATGTCGCCAGGGCTACGCCTGTCCACACTACCACAACAGCAGAGACCGCCGTCGGAACCCCAGGAGGTTCCAGTACAGGTAGGTTCAGGGATCACAGACAGGAGGACCCTGCTCTGGCTCTAGACTATCCATCTTCACTGTAGCCACTGGCCTGATTGCTCTGCAGCTCCTGCTGCCTCTGTTCATCTGACAGAGCCAGGGTCATGAGGTTTCTTTACTTTTTTCCTGTGACCCTTGCACCTCATGCTGGGGAGGAGAAGCATTTTCCATACTGTTGTCATAGAGATGTCCACTTTTTGAGTTCTCCCTTTGAGGATTCCTGCTCAGCAAAACTGTCAGCCCATAGGCAAGAAAGCTGTCTTAAAGGGGCTAGGCTTGTGCTGGGCGGTGGTGGCGCACACCTTTAATCCCAGCACTTGGGAGGCAGAGGCAAGTGGATCTCTGTGAGTTCGAGGACAGCCTGGTGTACGTGAGCTAGTTCCAGGACAGGCAGCATTCAGGCACAGTGGTTCCCACATGATCTGCCCACTGATAGCCCTCAAGGGGTAGGGAACACAGCTGGGACACCCCCCTGCAGCCTGTGTATTTCCACTGGCACTTCTGGTAATAATGCATCACCCCTGCACAATGTAATGCACCACCCCTGCACCTCTGCAATGTCGGGGCTGCGTCCTGCCCAGTAGGCACTGCACATTTGGCTTTCCTGGGATGTGAGACAGAGTTCACCTTCCAGACTGATAGCAGGGCACTGAATCTGGAGATGGAGAACTCTGGGGGATGCTCAACTTCTTGCCCTTCTGATTCTCACCTGCATCTGGGTTGGGGTCCCAGCAGGCTGGTGGTCCCCCATTTTCCAAAGCATTATCCACTCTTGCCTCTGGCCGCCCCTGTCTGTATTGCTGGCCTCCCTTTGGGTTTGCTGTCAGCACTCCCGGTGGCCCATGCCTCAGTCCCCACAGGTTCCTCTTTCAGCCTGCACCTTTTCTTTGCAGAGGGCCAACCTCTTCTCTTTGTAATCATAATCCCGTGACCGTTTGAGTGCCCAGAAACACCTGTTCTGATAGATGAAGATGGTGGATTTGTGACTTCACTGCTTTCTGAATAGCTTCAGGGTCAAGAGACCTGAGTAACAAACCAGGAATAATACAGATTAGTGGTTGTGTGCCACTACTTCAGGCTTTTAAGAGCCCGAGGGGTGGGAATTCTGACTATAAACCCCAAATGAGTGGTCATGAAACTGCCAGAAAGTGTGGGGAATGTGGGTCACTTAAGCTTCAAGTCTCAGATTCTACTTTGCTGCAGAATCAGGCAGAGCCCTGGGCCAACACCCGCTGTGGGGCCCTGTACCCACTGTTCCTCACCCCTTCACCCGGGCAGCCCTGACTCAGATGGGGAGTGCGGGGTAGCATGATCACTGTAGGTTCACTTTGCCTTCTGCCCACTGTTGGGAGCCCGGTTCTGAGCACACGGGTGCATTCTTCCTACTCTAGGTCCACACCTTGCCCTAGTGTGAAACACGGTGACGAATGGGGCGAGCCCTCACGGTGTGAGGGTGGGGACAGCTGTCAGTACTGCCATTCCCGCACGGAGCAACAATTCCATCCTGAGGTAGGCATCAGGCAGGTGGGGGCGGGGCAGCTCAACAGGGGCTTGCTGTGTGTGGAGCCCTCACTGGAAGGGCACTTAGGACTCAGAAACGCTACTCGGTGCACACTGTTGGATTGCACTGAGAGGTACTAAATCAGCCTAGGAGGAGTTGGGGAATGGGGTCGGGAGGAGCCATGCGGAACGACACTCAGGGAGTGAGGACAGCACTTCCCTCTCCTAGAACAAGGGGTCTGACCAGGGAGGGACAGTTTTACTAGAGGGTTCCACTCACCCACCTGGTCATGGCTGCTCTATTGCCAGTGCCTATTGGGGTCCAGCTGATCTTGTGTGGCCCACAGCTCCGCCCTGCGTGCCATGTGAGATGAACCGCCTAGCCCTGAGGCTCTCACTAGTGAGGGTTTTCCAGGGGTTCAAAGGTTACCACCAGGACGGTGAGGACTGCCTGTCCCATGGAATGGTCTAAATAGGTGTTTGGCCCTGTCCTTATGAGTTCACCCTGACTACTCAGTCACCAAGCAGAACACACTTAGATTTGAGTTAAAATGAAGAAGCAAAAGGACTGTCCTTGGAGCCCTGAGACTCCAGGGAGCCGGGGCTAGGCTGGAGAACCTGAAGGAAATGGTTCTCTATGTAAGCTTAAGTCTGCTAGTGCAGGGGTGCTGTCATCATGACCTTCCCTGAGCCTGTGTAATGGATGCTATGCTATGGTTTTGGTATTTGGGCAAATGTTGCCCCTTGGGGTAGAGTTCCTGGCGCCGAGGCTTGTCTGCCCTTTCCCAGGTTGCCATGGTGAATTGTCTAGCCACAAGGTTGAGCAGGCATTGCTTGAGCTTCTGCTGTATCTCAGAGAGAGTTAGACACCTCTTCCAGTGATGTCAAGTAGAAGAGTGCCTTTGCATGGAGGTCTGATTGACAGGTTTGGCCCTGGCCAGTGTCTTGGGAGGAGAAGGGTATTCAGGACCACGGGCATCTAGGGGCAAACAGTGTGGTGGCTACCTTCCATCACTGGAAAGAAAAGGTTTGTGTAGCTCGAAGTTCTGATTACATGGCCCCATAGCTTTGGGCCTGCCCTGCCCCCACAAGAGCATGCCTCATTATTCTAGGGACTGCCCACTAGGCCCTGACTTGTCCAGGTTTCACCATCTTCTAGTCCTGAGAACCAGGCCTTCCGTGAACTCTTGGAGACTCTGCATATCCGTTCTGCAGCTGGATGAGCCCACGCAGTCTGATTGCTGGTGTGTTCTGAGCCACCAGCTGTGCTCTTCTCACAGGAACCCAGATGAATAAGCGTCCATCTTGTCTTATTTCCTAGATCTACAAATCTACAAAATGCAACGATATGCGCCAGACTGGCTACTGCCCTCGGGGCCCTTTCTGTGCCTTTGCACACGTAGAGAGTAAGTAGACAACCTTCAGTTTCCTGGGGCCACCCCGGCCACCATGTGGCCACATACCTCACTCAGCAGCTCCACAGAATCTCATCCAAAGCCAGCTTTGAGTGGTGGCTCAGCACTGTGACCTGGGAACTGGCCACATCTATACATAAGGTCATGCTCATTTAGATGGCTGGGGTGGGGCTCACGCTACATGGCTGGACCTGCTCTGCCCTTTACATCAGGGACAGACCAGACTACTGGGCTCCACGTACCTCAGGGAGATCCAGATCTGCTTGTCATTCACCTGCTCACCTACACCTTCCCTGAGCTACTGTTCTAGTGGGACTGAGTGGCAGTGACTCTGAAGTCAGTGTCTGTCTGTGTAGCTGGAAGAGATACCTAGGTCTCTTAATTAGGCTTGGCTCGCTGCCCCAGAGCCTAGTAGTCAGTAGTTGTCAGTAGGCTCATAGTAGATGCTCTAAAGCTGTCCCCTGCTCTGGAGTGTGGGTTCTGGTGTTTATAAAATAGTTACAAAGTGCAAACTTCACTTCCTGTCTCAGTTGGGATGGCTGCTCTATTCACACTTGACATGTGATTTTCATATTAAAATTATTGAATCCAAATGGTACTGTTTGGGAGCTAGAGAGATGGGTCAGTGGTTAAGAGCAGGTATTGCTCTTGCAGGGAATGAGAGTTGAGTTCCCAGCACCCTCATCAGGAGGCCCACAACTACCAGTCTTGGGGTACCTGCACTCATATGCTCATACCCACACAGAGATGCATATTGTACACATACTTAATAATAGACTTTAAAAAATAGGATTATTTGTTTTTATGCATGTGTTTTGTTTGCATATGTTTACGTGCACTACACGTGTGCCTGGTGCCTGCAAAAGCCAAAAGTGTTGCATTCCCTGGAACTGGAGTTACAAATGGTTGTGAACTACCATGTAGTTCTGGGAACTGAACCCAGGTCCTCTGCAAGAGCAGCAAATGCTCCTAACCATCCAGTATCTGCAGCTCCTAAAAAGAAATTAAAAAGGAAAGGTTAAATGGCTCTGTGAGGGCTGGCCTGCCATCCAGGAAAGGGGAAGTGGCTATAATACCAGCCTGTGCTCTCCACCTCTTCCGTGGGCCAGCTGTCAGCTCCTCAATGCCAGCTGTTCTTTCTTCTTGGTAGAAAGCCTGGGAATGGTGAATGACTGGAGCTGCCGTGACCTCAGTTCCAACAGCGCCTCGACTTACAGCAGCCAGCCTGGAAGTGTAAGTGGACATTGCTTGGCTTAATCACACTGTTGGGGACAGAGATGAGATGATATTTGGCATTTGGGTGCTGTGGTTGGAGGCAGCCTACATTGTGGTACCTTCTAAAAGAGTCTAGAAAAATCGTGACTCTATTCCTGCCAGGGCTGGAGCAGGACACACCCCTGGTATGCTGACTGGTGGGATCTTGCTTTAGCAGGCACCCGGTGCCTTGCCTTCCTCATCTTTGCCATCCCTTGGGCTGTTAGGTTCCTAGGCAGTTGGAGGTCATCAATAAATGGTATCTGATATGGCATGCCCAGGTGTTGGATGAGGACATCATGTATCTGTCCTCATCCTACTTAGAAACCGCTTCCTGTCTGTGCCTGGGTCGGGCACTAGAGTAAATCCTGAGGAGGGCTCCCAGTGTGGGGACAGGCTTTTCAAAAGTGGACTGAAGCTAGTATTTGTTTCTAAAACTGTTTGAGTAACATTGAAATATTCCCGAACTTGCTGGTCGATGGTGGTACAGGCCTTTAATCCCAGCACTCAAGAAGCAGAGGGAGGTGGATCTCTGAGTTTGAGGCCAGCCTGGTCTACAGAGTGAGTTCCAGGACAACCAGGACTACACAGAAAAGCCCTGTCTTGAAAAACAAAAACAAGGGGCTGGAGAAATGGCTTAGAGGTTGAGAACACTGGTTGCTCTTCCAAAGGTCCTGAGTTCAATTCCCAGCAACCACATGGTGGCTCACAACTGTCTATAATGAGATCTGGTGTCCTGGTATACAGGCATACATGCAGGTAGAACACTGTATATATAATAAATAGATAAAATCTTTAAAAAAGAAAAAGAAAAAACAATAATTTGTTGAACAGAGCCACTCTGCTTAGCTCGTGCACTTGTGTATCACTTCACTCTCTTGCCGAGGCCACTTGGGTGGAGCCTGGGTCAATTGACAGGCCCCTGAGACTCAGGAAATGTCTGTTCATGGTCTAGGTCTTAGTCACTATTGCTCTTTTTCCCCTTCTGCCTGAGGATGGTCCTTTGTGGACAGCGTCTGAGTCTGTCCTGGGTATCCTCTGCTAGTGTAAATGTGTGGTGGTGGACCACTGGACCGAGATGCCTGTGGAGGCAGCATCTCCGCATTCATTCCTGCTTTAGTGTCCGGAACGCTGCTGGCACTCTGTATACCCAGAACTTGCCACTTTTCCCTCGGGATTGTCACAAAACCCTCACAGGACCTTGAGTGGTTGGAGCTATCCTCCCTCAAGGTACAGCTGGGTCTCCCTGGGGCAGTACTCACACTCCTGTGCTGTCAGTGTCGCTGCTGTTTGGGTCAAACAGGAGACCAGGGTTCTTAGTTCTAGTCCCCAGCATGATGCCATTGCTTTGACCTTCATATGAGGGCCTGTTTAGTGTGATGAATTCATGAGCCCATGCCCAGCCCTTTTTATTGAACAGCTGCTTGGCTCTTGGTGCGTGTGTAGTGCCCCACAGACTGTCAGTCCCGAGTGATCCAAGTGTGGAAGGGGCTTTGGTACCAATGGACAGGAGCCATGAGAACAACTCGGTTTCTCGTGTCTTTGAGGACTTGTACTTTCGTAGTTTTTTTTTTTTAATTTATTTATTTATTATGTATACAATATCCTGTCTGTATGCCTGAAGGCCAGAAGAGGGTGCCAGACCTCTTTACAGATGGTTATGAGCCACCATGTGGTTGCTGGGAATTGAACTCAGGACCTTCGGAAGAGCAGGCAACGCTCTTAACCACTGAGCCATCTCTCCAGCCCCTGTAGTGTTTTGTTTTGGGGATTGTTTGTTAATTTTTGTTTTGAGGCAAAGTCTTATTATATAACCTAGGTTGGTCTCAAACTTATGATCTTCCTGCTCCAGCCTGCTTTGTGCTGGAATTACAAGCCTGGGCCAACACATCAGCTCCAGCATTTTCTAAATTCTAAGCAAAGTGTGGGTCTGTGTGTTTTCAGAAGATATCTCCCCCTTGCCTTTCTAACCTGAGCAGCCCTTCTCTTGTAGGCCAAACGGAAAGACTCTCCCTCTGAAGGAAACCAGAAAACTAGTGAGGACAGCAAGCAGGTATAGTCTGGGGCATGTGACTGCAGCTACAGAGTATGGCTTGTGTTCTGTAATTATCTTCTTTTGGTGGGGCTCATATTTGTGTGTCCTTTGTTTTGTTGTTAAAAAATATTTAAGCTACAGCTGGGAGGTGGTGGCGCACACCTTTAATTGCAGTACTTGGGAGGCAGAGAAAGGCAGATCTCCGTGAATTTGAGGCCAGCTTGGTATACAGAGCTAGTTCCAGGACAGCCAGGGCTACACAGAGAAACCCTGTGTCAAGCCCTCCCCCTCCCTCCAAAAAAAAAAAAAAAAACCTGTGTCCTTGAAAACAAAACTAAAGCCTTGTGGCATTTTTGTCTGGGGAAATCAGCAGCTACAGCCACTGTAGCTGTGTCTCAGGCACAGACTTAAGCAACAACTCCATTTCCCAGTCCCGAGGTCAGAGATTGAGGTCGAAGTGAGGTCAGGCCCAGACTTTGTGTGCTTTCTGTGGCCTCACAGGATTATCCCTTGGTGCATGTCTCTGTCCTCATGTCTTACACGGACACCATTTACCTCATTCAGTGACCTTATCTTTACCTACCAAGTCTGTAGAGACAGGGTTTCTCTGTAGCTTTGGAGCCTAGCCTGTCCTGGAACTTGCCCTGTAGACCAGACTGTCCTGAACTCTCAGAGATCCACCTGCCTCTGCCTCCCTAGTGCTGGGATTAAAGGTGTGCACCACCACCGCCTGGCCTGTGGGAAAGTTTTCATCCTCCCCTGTTTTCTGCTCTCCCCATGGAGCCAGGGCAAGGAAAGGAGGATGAGGTGTTCCTGGTTCACAAGGACATAGTATCAGTTGGGAAAGGGAAAGCGTTCTGGAAATTGGTGGTGATAGTGTTTTCCCAAGAGTGAATGTAATTAATGCCACAGAAGTATACACTGGGAGCCAGGTCTTGTGGTGCAGGCACATAAAACCCCAGCTACTTGAGAGGCTTGAGGCAAGAATATTACTGTGAGCTTAAGAGCAGCATTGGCTTGATAGTAAAATATTGTATTAAAGGTTAAAATAAAGGTCTGGGAATGTTGCTCAGTGATAGAATACTTACCTAGTGTTTTAGTTAGGGCTACTATGACCAAAGGCAAGTAGGGGAGGAAAGCATTTATTGGCTTACACTTATGTGTCACTGTTCATTATTGAAAGAAGTCAGAACAGGAACTCAAGCAAGGCAAGAACCTGGAGGCAGAGGCTGTGAGGGGTGCTGCTTACTGGCTTGCTCATCATGGTTTGCTTTGCTTAGCTTGCTTTCTTACAGAACTCAGGACCAGTAGCCCAGGGGTGGCCCCACCCACAATAGTCTGAACTCTCTCCCATCCATCACTAATTAAGAAAATGCCCAGGGCTAGAGAGATGGCTGCTCTTGCAGAGGATCTGGGTTCACTTTCTAGCATGCACATGGCAGCTCACAACTGTCTGTAATTCCAGTTCCAGGAAATCTAACAGACATACATTCAGGCAGAACACCAATGCACATAAAATAAAAGTAAATAATTTAAATAATAATAATAAAAATGCCATGTACCCAGTTCTTATGGAGGCGTTTTATCAATTGAAATCTCCTCCTTTCAGATAACTCTAGCTTGTCAAATTGACATAAAATTAGCCAGCACACCTAGTATGTGAGACCCTAGGTTCAGTCCCTAATACCACAAAGAAGTGTATGCTTAATACTGATTAAGGGCCAATCAGAAGGTACAGCAGTAAAAGACATTGCTACCATGCATACTGACCTGGATTTGGTCCCTGAGACCCACAGGTAGGAGAGAACCGACTCCCAAGAGTTGTCCTCTGGTGTGCACACACATCTACATACACATACACACAATCTCAATAAATAAAGTCAATAAAACCCAGAACAGTTAAATGATTAGTGTTTTTTGTTTGTTTGTTTGGAGCACTGGTGTCCTGCTGTGTGGGCGTGATATTACCTGCCTGAGCTCCCTCGGATCAGCTGTGCTGATGACTTGGCAGCCACATCATGCCATTTTACAAGTTCTCTGCATTCTTGGTCTCTGGTTTAAAGTCTAGGGAGGTTTTGTTTTAATTTTTAGTATTTTATTGTATGTGTATGGATGTTTCTGCGCGCATGTCTGTGTACCATGTGCACAGCTAGTGTCCACAGAAACCACAAGAGGCAGTTGGGTCCTTGGGAACTGGAGTTACAAATGGTTGTGAACTACCTGGGTGCTGGAAAGCACACCTGTTCCTTTGGAAGAACACTTAATTGCTGAAGTATTAAAGTCCCAGAAGTGACAGCACAGGTTTCTCCTGGGATTCCAGGCAACAGGCCTTGAAGTCTCTTCTCTACTAAACCAGGACTCTGGGGGTGACATGCTCCCCATTATTTGGAAAGAGGTGCATGTGTTCTTGGTGGTATTGGACTTAGGTGAGCTCTGAAGTTTAAGGTAGGTGGATGGAAGTGGACAGTAGTGATTATGATTCAGGATGCTGGCCTCAGTTGTCTGGGATGGACCTCAGCCTGACCAGCTCATGGCACCAGCTCAGCTCTGGGCTGGGCCCACTGGTGAAGGGGAGGTGAAGGCAGACAGCACAGGTGTTACAATTTTTAAAAATGCCACAAAGAGAAGTCACACCATGCAACAAGGTTCACATGGGAGGTTTATTAGCAGAGTAGAGAGAAGGGGCAGAGATCGGCCCCTAGGGACAACAGTGGTGGAAGGGGGTGGAGAGAGAGAGAGTGAAAAGACACAGGACACTGACATTCCTTCTTTTGTTCATTATGAAAAGGTGAGTTAGAAAGAGGTCACAGGTGAGGTGGGGATGAGAATGCTGTGTTCTCAAGATTGCTTCATGCTGACCTGGGGGTGTTACAATCTTTGGGGAACCTGGGAAAGCTGGGGTGCTGGCACTGCTGTCTCCTGAGAGGGCAAGGAAAAGTGACAGGAAAGATCACCAGGGCTAAGTGGGAACAGGAGTTGAGTAAATGAAAGAAAGGGAGAACCGGTGTGTGCTGAGCAAGAGGAAGCTGACTTCTTCTGACCCGCACGTGCAGCGAACAAACGGGACGTTTAGAGAGGGAGAGCAGACAGACTCAAGCAGGTTTTGAAAAAGAAAGTGGAGAATCTTTTCTCTGTTCCCCGACTGTCTGGTCCAAGGAATACTGAGGCCAGATTTATTTAAAAGGAGTAATCAGTGGGTCTCAAAAGACATCCCAATGAGAGTGAGGAGGTGTAGGACACAGTTCCCAATGATGAGGCAGAGGAAGATAGAGAAAGATCCATAGGCCTGAGTACACTGGCATCCCAGGGACCAGGGAGGATCAAACTGAGTGGGCACAGCTGTTTCAGTACATCGTCATGCAAGAAGAGGGACTAAGGGCTCTGAGCCCGAGAGAGGCAAAGTCCACCTTGTACCAGGACTTTGAGAAAAGCTAGAAGGGGAGGAGAAGACTGTGCTCGAGAAAGGAAGCCTCATATCCAGGGAGGACAACCCCACCAGATATCCAGTTGTTGGTACTGAATGAAAAGCAAAGCTATCAGCGAATGAGAAAGCAAATTTGTTGAAGGTGGAAGAGAGCAGATCAGAAAGCAATATCTAAGGGATAATTGGGCCAGATCTTAACTGCAAAGGCAGATGAGTTTAGAAGCCCTTAAATCAGGCACTGAGTGCAAAAGCTGGAGGTATAGACGATGCCAAAGTTCCCATGAGTGAGGCAGATAAGTGAGACCCAAGGGCCTATAATTCCTAGTGTCCAGGAATTCAGAGAGGATTGATTTCGAGAAGGCACAGGCTGCCTCAGTGATTTGTCAAGCAGAGCAGGGGCTAAGGGCTCTGAGCCTAAAAGAGCCATGGTTCCCTGGTACCAGTGCTTGACGAGGCCAAAAGGTGAGAAGCCAAGCTTGAGAGATAAGTCCTCACTCTTGGGAAATGGCCAGCGGTGGAGAAGAGGGGACTCATCAATCATGCTGGTGTTAGATGGAGGGGCCCAGTGATCCATTAGTTTCCATCTCCACTCAACAGCGAGGCTGTTGTATGTGAACCAGGTACCAGGGTCCTGGCGTGCCCCAGACTGCCAGCAGGAGAGCCTTTCCTCCTGGTCAGGGAACCCGATGTTGTAATTTAAAAACACCATGAGGAGAAGTCATGCCATGCAGCAAGGCTCACGTAGGAGAGGTTTATTGGAAGAGGAGAGAGAAGAGGCAGAGAAGGAGGCAGAGACTGGTCCCTGGGGGCAAGAGAGGTGAAAGAAGGAGAGGTGGGGCAGAGAGAGGGGGAAGGAGAAAGAGAGAGAAGGGGAAGATGGGCAGGCCCAGCTTTTAAAAGGGACCCTAGTGAATGTGCACAGGAGGTGCTCTTAGTGGCTGCAGCTAAGGACATACCCTGTCAGGACCCCAAGGGCAGGACAGAACAGATGCCTGAATACTGACAACAGGTGCTTACAGCTTCTGTACCTGGTACCTGTGTGATGGGGTTACCACTAAGCTGTTGATTTCCAGCTGTGATGTGTGATCTTATCATTTATAGAGAACTGGTACCCTTCATGCTGGTAACAGTTTCTTCCTGCCTATGGCCAGTGTCTGTGACTTGCTGATAGAGAACACCTGCCCTCTCTTTGGCCCAGGCACCTCAGCCACTCCTGAGTGTGGGCTCTCTGGCTACCATTGTGGGACTCATGGGGATGTCATGTCAGGGAGGTTTGGTGAGGCCCAGGATGCATGGGCTGCTTTTTCTTGATGTGAAGATCCTAGGTTCAGCACATTTGATGAAAGTGTCTATAGTACTGAGACATGCCGAGGACCCCCAGCTCTGCTGCTTTGTTCCCCGAATCTAGCCTGGGCACCTGTTTGCTCTCATATGGCTTGTTTTTAATCTATTACCTATCATTTTTCCTCAGTTTCTCTTTTCTGGCCATTGGGTGGGTAAGAACTGGGGAGGGGTGAGAGGCCCCTGGGATGTTGGGGAGAAGGATGGGCAGGTGCCCTGCCCCTAGCCTGTCACAGGTTTTTGAGTCAACAGACACTTTTCAGATCTGTTTGCCTGAGTGACAGCAAGACAGCCTGTTATGGTCAGTGCATGCTGGCGAACAGTTCCCACCCGTTTGCAGCAGCCTGAGATGTTGCTGTCCTCGTGTGCCGCTCTGGAAGTGGGCAGTCCGTCTGTCTGCAGTGTCTCTGCTGTTGTGCTCCCAGCAGCACCTGCTCATATTGTTTGTGTTTTTGAACAGAACCACCTTGCTGTGTTCTCAGTGGTTCACCCACTGGCCCCCAGCATAAGCTCCAGTGTGGCATCTAGCCTGGCATCCAGCACTGGCTCAGGTAGCTCCTCCCCCACCGCTCTGCCTACCCTCCCTGCCCGTGCCCTCCCACTGGATCCAGCTGGCAACACTGTGGAGGCAGTTCTAGGTAAGTCACAACACTCTTTCCTCTCAGCTTTTCACACGGTCACTGTGTTACTCGGGACTGCAGGATATGTGGAACCCACGTCACAGAATGCACAAAACACCTAAGAGTCATGGCAAGTGGACCCTCTGTCCCAGAAGCCACGGGGAAATGAGGAGGCTGGTGAGAAGTGGAGATGGAAACCATGATGCACTGAAGGTGGGGGATGACAGGGTCGAGAGGAGAGTTGTAGTGGAGCCTGCAGCAAGTAAACCGCTAGCTGTCAACTTGCGGCCAGCTTCGTGGATATTTTAGTGCCTGGGAGTCACTCACTGCAGGAGCACCAGTGATGTGTCAGGGCCTGAACAGGAGCCAAGAACCTGGGCACAAAGGCCAGGATGAGTTAAGTAAATGGGCTGAGACCAAGAGGAGTGAGTGAGCCTGGCACTCCAGTGTACACAGGTACTTGTGAATCACAGGTAGCGTGCTCTGAGCTGCTGCATTCCGTGGTCACAGGCAGCATGCTCTGAGCTGCTGCATTCCGTGGTCACAGGCAGCATGCTCTGAGCTGCTGCATTCCGTGGTCACAGGCAGCGTGCTCTGAGCTGCTACATTCCGTGGTCACAGGCAGCGTGCTCTGAGCTGCTGCATTCCGTGGTCACAGGCAGCGTGCTCTGAGTTGCTGCATTCCGTGGTCACAGGCAGCTGTGCTCTGAGCTGCTGCATCTGTGGTCACCAGGGCCTAGTTGGCCCAAGACTGACTTGATTGTGGTTTGGTTTGGTTCAGTTTGGTTTTTCAAGACAGGGTTTCTCTGTGTAGTCAAGGCTGGCCTGGAACTCTTTGTAAACCAGGCAGAAACTCACAGAGATTTGCCTGCTTGTGCCTCTTGACTTCTGGGATTAAAGGCATGTGCCGCTACCACCCAGCTTTTTTTTTTTTTTAAAGATGTTGTTTTATATATATATATGAATATGAGAATTTGCCTAAATGTATGTCTGCATTGCATGTGTTCATTGCCTGTGGATGTCAGAAGGAGGGAATTGGTGTCCCTGGAAATGGAGTTAGAGACAATTGTGAGCTGCCTCATGGGTGCTGGAAATTGAACCTGGGTCCTCTGGAAGAGTAGCCGGTGCTCTAAACCACTGAGGTATCCTTCCAGCCCCGAAGCCTGTATCTTCTCCTGACCATGGGAGATACACAGAAGAATGGTATTTGTGGTGACTCAGAGATGTGGGACTGGAAAATTAAGCTGTCTTGAAGCAGGTCGTGCTGCCTAGGGATCCAGAGTCAAGTTGTCCATGTTGATGTACAAGTACCAAAGTGGCAAGCCCTACCTAGAGGACATAGACATGTGTCACTAACCGTCTCACAAGACAGCACAAGCTCTATCCCTGTGGACCTGCTAGAGTCCTACATCGGATGCAGGTTGGGAATGATGTCACTAGTGCTGACAGGAGGCTTCCCTCCACCCTCCTCGGGGGACATTAAAGACAGTCCTGTACTATGCGGGGACTGCTAAGGCGTCCTGGAGCTGGTCAATGTGCTGCTGAGGCTCCTCCCACCCCTCTGTGTTTCTAATGTAAAAGTAAAGAGGGTACACAACAGACGAATGTTGAGGGGAGTTAGATCCCCATCCTGGAACAAGCAGACTGTGTGGGCACTTGCTCACCAAGGTGTAAGGTTGACCAGGTGCTACAAACATGGGAAGTCTCTCAGGAAGTCCTGAGTTGCTGGGTGTTTCAGGCTGGCAGGTGTCAGCGTGTTTGTGGTAGTTCATCTAGCAGTGCTGGCCTCAGCCACAGAGTCAGGACGTTGCGAATCATTTTTAAAATTTGTTTTGTGGGGCTGGGGAGCTGGCTCAGTCATTTAAAGCACTGGCTGCTCTTGCAGAGGACCCAGGTTCAATTCCCCACTCCCACACGACAGCTTTCAACTGTCTGTAACTCCAGTCCAAGAGGATCCAGTGCCCTCTTCTAATCTCAACAGAGACATGCAAACAGGCAAAACATAAATACACATAAAATTTGTTTTGTATTGCTGGGAAGGGAATCCAAGGCCTCAAGTTGATTAAGCCACCTGTCCTCATTTACAATACAATACAGTGTATTGTAGTTACTGCTTCCTAGTTAATACAGTGAGCATTTCCTCCCCTCACTGTGAATCCCTTCAAAAGTCAACTAGCTGGGTACTGTAATCTCAGGGCTTGGGACGCTGAGGCAGGAGGATCACTTTTGAGGCCCCCCATACTATATATCAAGACACAAGAAGTCAGTGGGCTGTCTTCCCAGTGATGGGAATTCATAGTTCCTAGGCACAGAGGCAATCCCTGCCTCTACCCAATAGCCAGCCTGACCCACATGCCTCCTCCCCATGGGATTGGCCCTCACTTTGGTTCTTTTTCGGTGTTAAAGGGCTGGTGGGGAGGAGGGGTAGACTGGAGGGCACTGTTTTTGTGGGGTTTCCTTCTATTTAAATCAAGTGCAGGGCCTGCACATTTAAGAGATGCGGGGGAGGGAAGTGGGAAGCGGCTGGTAGTCAGAGTGAACACGCCTCCAGCTCTTGGCCATGGGGGACTGAGCCCATGACTGCTCCCTCTCCTCGGCACCCTCCCAATTCCTCCACCTCCCCTCCTCCCCCATCGTCCATTCTTGCCCCCCTATTTAGGCCTAAACGGTGCCTTTCCTAGCACACCTGGTAAGCAGGTGCTGTGAGGGCGTGGCCGGTGCTCGGGGGGCAGGGTGCACAGCGGGAGTGGGCGGGGCCTGCACGCAGGCAGGGCCAGAGGCTGGTTAGGGCGGAGCGCGAACCAGGCAGGTTTGAATCCTCAGTGACGGCAGCCCTACTGGGGCTGCGGGAAGCTATGAGTCAGCATTGACTGTGGCTACGGCAGATCCCGGCAGGTCTCGCGTCAGCCCGGCACCAAGTTGTGGGTCCTCATTTTCAGCGCTTTGGAACTCCCGAGGTGTGAGTCCCTTTCTCCGGTGCGTGTCCTCCAGGGGGCTTCTGTCCTACACTCAAATCCTCCCTGGTGGTGTCGTCCCCCCCCCCCCCGCCTTGACTGGTATCTTCCTTGAGATCGTCCTGGTCGGCCAGCGTACCCCCAGGTGAAGAACCCCTGGTAGTTTCCCTTCTGAGTGCACCCCTCCGTCTTGGTGCGCACCCCTTCAGGCCGGTACCTTTCAAAATGCATGTCCCTCCAAGTGCATGTTTCCCGGAAGCCATGTACCTCTTTCGCAGTGAGATCATGGGACTGCAGAAGGAGGTTAACTTACATGCCTACTCTTAGAAACTTGCTTTTCTTGGTGCTGTTTATCCAGGGCCCTATTGCCCTCAAGGTGGCCATCCTGCATCCTGTCCCTGGAGTCCTGGTCAGGTCCCCCCAGTTCCTCCTAACTTTGCCAGTTCAGAGTGGAGGTATGCTGGTGGCTTGGTGCTCCTCTGTTCTCTAGCAGCAGATAGGGAAAACACCATCCTGTCTTGCCCTTAACTCCTTTCTGCAGTCTGTGTGGTTTGTCCCTTCATGTATCCCTGACCCTAGAGGACTATGGCACCTTTTGAATGTGCTGTGTCACATTGGGAACTGGTGATGCCTGGGACAATACTCAGCAGCTCTCTGCTGGTTGCTGGTGAGGTCCAGGTGGCTTCAGGTCATTTGGTGGAGCCAGTTCTGAGCCAGGCGGTATAGCTTGGCCCTCAAGCACTTGTAGTTTGTGAAAGGAGGCTCACCTAGATTTCCAAGGTGGTTCTTGAGGTATGATTCAGAAGTCCTGGTCTGATCATCAGGACCATGAAGGTTAGTGAGGTTGGAGAAAAGAACCTGGTGGGCTAGGGTGTAGGGTGGGTTCCTGAACAGCAATCAGAAGAGTTGGGGGAGCCCCTGGGCCAGAAATAGGGCTGCAGGGCCCAGAGGCTCCCCAGATATCCCCTTTTAACTGAAACCTTGCTGGGCTCCAGTACAGTGGCTCACACCCTGTGCTAGGCTTCTTTTTGGGATTGATTGCAGTATGGTTCTATCCCAGCTTGGCCCCTCTGTTCTGTGTAGTCAAGGCTGCCACTGCACCTTGGACTCCTATGCTGAGCCACAGAAAACATGCTCAGATTGACTCATCCAGGGGAGACAGGTTCCCATTTTCATGCCTTTCTTTGTTCCTTAGTTCTTCAAATTGAGGTTTTGTGGTTATTCCAGGGGCACAAAAGCCGTGAAATTGTCTCTCACTTAATTCTCCAGGTTTTAGGTGCAGGGGCTGTCAGTCCAGGCTGTCCCTCCCTGCTCCAGATCAGGTGTAAAGGATGGGGTGGAGCCTCTGCACTGGGCACAGCAGAGGCAGGATAGGGCAGGTTGCCGTGTGGATGGATGGGAACATATCCTCAGTCTGCCTACTTCGGCCAGCTCTGTCCAGATGTACTGGTTCAGCACACAGGGTTTGGAGGCTGATGAGATCTGGACTAGTGGATTATGAAGAAGAGTGTGAGGTAGAGAGAGCTGTGCTTAGCTTGCTGTCACTGGAGAAGGGGCCCTGAATTATGCCTTGTCTTGGGAGACACCTCTTCTCCCCCAAAGACAGAGATGAAACTGGGGGTGGCATGTGGTGCTGGGGTAAGAAAGGGAGCAGGTAGAGTTGTGAGGTATCCACCAGGGAAGAGTTTAAGTCAGTAGAAAGTCCTTTATTTGTTTATTTTCTGGAGACAGGGTTTCTCTGTAGCTTTGGAGCCTGTCCTGGAACTCACTCTATACACCAGGCTGGCCTCAAACTTACGTAGTTCTACCTGCCTCTGGCTCCTGAGTGCTGGGATTAAAGGTGTGCACCACCACTGCCTGGCCAATAGAAAGTCTTTCTTGGCCAGCTGGAACTACACTGGGTGTTCAGGATCCAGTGCCGTCCCGAGCCTTTCTCAGGGTGAGCTTTTGAGCACAAAATACTCATCCTGAGTTGGCACACCTGGGTTGGTTGACACACCTGGGTTGATTGACGCACCAGGGTTGGTTGACGCACCGGGGTTGATTGACGCACCAGGGTTGGTTGACGCACCGGGGTTGGTTGATGCACCTGGGTTGGTTGACACACCTAGGTTACACCTTAGTTTGAAGAACTAAGGAGCAGGAACAGTTAGCCAGAAGCAAAACTATAGAGCCCAGAAAGTACATTTAGGAACTTTGCCAGAACTACAGAAGCAACTCTGATGGGTTAGGTCTCTTTTCATTTTGCTGCCTACATGCTGGGTTTTAAGCCCTGAATGGTACTCTGTCACGGTGTCAGCTGTGCTTCTAGAATTTTATCCTGACCTCCTACAGAGAGGTTTCCTTACACAGGGTCCCTCACCTGTGTGCTGTCACCCTTTTAGAGAGGCCCTTTGTATGCCCAGGCAGTGGTGGCGCACACCTTTAATCTTAGCACTTGGGAAGCAGAGGCAGGCAGATCTCTGTGAGTTTGAGATCAGTCTGGTCTATAGAGCGAGTTCCAGGACAGCTCGGCTGCTACACAGAGAAACCCTATCTCAAAGAGAGAGAGACAGACAGACAGACAGACAGACACAGGGGAGAGGCCCTTTATAACCAGCAAGGGAAGATCAGGGCCTTCAGGGAAAGTTTTTGTGACCTGTGGCATCTTTTTATTTGTTTATTTTTGAGAATAGACTGGTCTGGACCTCACAATTCTCTCTGCCTTTGCATCCCAGGTGCTGGGATTGCAGGCCTATGCCACCACACCCAATATATATGTTATCTTGAAGTTGAAGTCAGAGTTCTTGGGAACTGGGGGGCCTTAGTCAGCAGTGGGGACAGGACTGAACCACACAGCATAGACTGCACCAATGTACTGTGAGGAGTGGGTGGGAGAGGCAGTAGCCACCATGTCAGAGCTAAAGGTTCATTGCTTCTCAGAGAAAGACTTGGAAGAGCAGGACCTTGGATTGACAGGTGAGAGTGCTGGCTGAGCTCAGTGGCTCCTTTAACTTCCTGCATGTTCAGGTTTGACAGTGCCTGTATTGAGAATGCGACACCACTCACAGGCATACTCCCGTCTCTCCTCCCTCCAAGGGCTATGCAGGCTATCGACACAGATTGCTATCTTCTCCGCTGTGTGGTCCCTGAATGGCAGCCTTGTTCTGGCTGTGGAGGTGGTGGAGGCATGTCCTAGTCTCATCCTGCTCCTGACGTTCACTCTGTAGACCAAATGGCCTCAAACTGTGATTCTTCTGCCTTAGCATTTGTAGTACTAGAATTATAGTGTTCTACCATACCAGCAACCTTTGCCCCTGACAGGGAGGCAGTTTCTGGGGTGAGTGTGGCGGTCCTGTCTCCCTTGAGTCCTCAAGGTGTCAGAACTCATTATCTTAGTGTGTTCAGCCTACACAGCCTCAGAACCATTTGCCTGTTGTAATTAACCTCCTGTAAAATTTTTAATAGTTAAATGTAGTTTCTTAGTCAAATTTTAACAAATGGTTAGAAGTAAAAGGAGATACAGCTGAGCACATCCGGTACACTCCTGTATAATCCCAGCACTTGGGAGGTGGAAAGCAAGAGGGTCAGAAGTTCAGGTTGCCCTTGGCTGCATTGAGTTGAGGCCAGTCATGAGCTACATGATATCCAAAACAAAGAAAATGAAAGAACCATACCTACAAAGTAGGACGTTTGTGGACCAGAGCTGTGTGTCTCACTGCAGCAAGGGCTGTTCAGATGAAATACCCCTCCCTGGCTGTGGAGGAGAAAGCAGCCCTGTTGACCAGTAGAGGCTGGCAGGGGCTGCTTTGCTCTAGCTAGGTGGGTGTTGATGTTATGGGGTCAGGGATTCCTTCTGAGAGGTTTTGTGTTTGTGCCTGGTGAGAGCTGAGTGGGTAACACCAGGTTTATCTCGCAGGTTCGGCCTTAGATCTTCACCTTAGTGACATAAATATCGCGTCCTTAGATAAAGACTTGGAAGAGCAGGACCTTGGATCGACAGGTGAGCTCAGTGGCCCCTTTATCTTCGTGCATGCTGCCTGGCTTACTGGAGGGATTGAGGAGAGCCATCTGCTGGGATCCTCTTCGTGCCTCTGCTACCTGCCTGTGTGACTCGGTTTCCTACTGCTTCCTCAGTTTACCTCTGTTGTGACAAAGCAGCCCTTTAGACTTGACTGGGGCCTCTCAAGAGGAAACACGAGAAATTATTCTTACAGCTGTATGGCATAGAGAGGTTCCTATTATTACATCATTTTCTTCATCCTGAAAGTTATTTTCTCTGTTTCAAAAAAAAAAAATTACCCATCTTCGAGCCCTGGTGGCTCTGTGAATGCCCTGCTAGTGGTGGGTTCCTGGCTCTGCCGGGACCACTACCAGTGCTGCCCTGAGTTGGCGGCGCCTGACAGCTGCACCCCTGTGGGTGGTACTTGCTTGCTGGCTTGGTTCCTCTGGTATCTTCTGAGGTGCCCCGTCCCTAGGTTTCCCTGGTGTCTAGCTGCCTAGTTACTGACCTGCAGGCTTATTGGCAAGTGGCTGTGTGGCAGAAACCCTGCCTGTCCTTGTTCACTCAGCCTCCCTCCTCCCACCAGGTCCCAGGTCGCTGGCAGGCTCAGCACCCGTCACCATTCCGGGCTCCCTGCCCCGCTCGCCATCCTTGCACTCGTCCTCATCCCTGTCCACCTCCCCACTCAGCTCGCTCTCCCAGTCCCTGTCTGGGCCACTCGTCTCCTCGGCTATGACGCCCCCCCAGCAGCCACCACCCCTCCGGTCGGAGCCGGCTACGCTGGGCTCTGCAGCCTCATCTTACAGCTCTTTAGGTGCGTGCCTGGGCGTGGGTCCCTCCCCGCCGGCTCTGGGTCCTGAAACAGGCCATGTCCAATCTAGTCCTGGGTATTTCTGACTGCAGGGCTTCTCACCTCCATAGTTGTGTGTCTTCAGAGACCCCACCCCCTGCAACCTGTGTGGTGTATAGATGAGTGGACAGACACGGTAGACATGTCTACCATGGGACAGCTGGTACCCACAGCTGGGCATTCTCACAGTGCTCCAGATCACAGTGTCTCACTTGCCAGCTCACTCAGGGCTCTGGGTGGGGCATACATGGAACTACATTGGGGTCCTTGCAGGCAGTGTCTAGGATTCATTGTATGACCCAAGCTATGAGAGGGAACTGATATGTCAGGTCAGCAGGATCTGTCTTCTGCTGTTCACATCTTCATAATGTTCTATTTAGAAATGTGCCTGTCTCCAGATGTCCATCTTAACAGATAGCTACAGGAGATGACCTCAGAACTAGAGCTCTTCTGAACCTCCAGGGTCTGCTAGAGAATGAGAACTGCTGGGGTTAGGAACTGTTTTTTTCTGTTCACACTCTTACCTTCCTGAGCCAAATGTGCCTCATTTAGGGGAGGCAGCCTTGGAGCTGAATCTTCAGCCGTCATGAGGGTACCAAGGTGGGTGGCCAGGTGAAGGGCAGAACACCTGCAGACACCTCAGGCCTTGGGTGCAGCATGGACTGTATCATCCTTGTCTCCTAAACTCAGGTTTGAACGGCGTCCCTGGGAGCATCTGGGACTTTGTTTCTGGCAGCTTCTCTCCTAGCCCATCCCCCATTCTGAACTCTGGCCCTTCGGCTTCCTCAAGTGCAAGTCCAAACAGTGCTGAGCTGGCACGGGTCAGGCGACAGCTAGATGAAGCCAAAAGAAAGATCAGGCAGTGGGAAGAGTCTTGGCAGCAAGTGAAGCAGGTAAGCCTGTGGGAAGAAGGAGCCGGACGTGGGAGGGAAGAGAGGGCTTTGGATACACAGGCAGGGCAGCTAAGCCTGAGGAAGGCCAGGCATGGCTGCCTCCTGTATGTTGTCTTGGGTTTTAGGCCTGTGATGCCTGGCAGAGAGAGGCTCAGGAGGCCAAGGAGAGAGCCCGTGTAGCGGACAATGACCGGCAGTTGGCCCTGCAGAAGAAGGAGGAAGTGGAGGCCCAGGTAAAGCAGCTGCAGGAAGAACTAGAGGGCCTGGGTTTGTCCTCACTGCCAGGCCTACGGAGCTTGGGTGACATCAACGACATCCCTCTCCCCAAGCTGCATTCCCTGCAGAGCCAGCTGCGCCTAGACCTGGAGGCTGTGGATGGGGTAAGTCCTGCTGGGCAGTTGCTGTCACTTCAGGGGAGGGCAAAGAGGACTGGCTCCTTGCCTGTTGCCTGGACCCTGGTTGGTGCTTTTTGCATATGTCCTGTTGACTACAGCCAAGGTCCACGTACTACATGTACCTTGTCTCCAAGATAGTTTCCTGGGTTCTGGCCACTCTCAGCCATGGGATCCCACTTAGCACCCATTGTGGGTACCCAGCTGCCAGCCTTGCCTGTGGCTAGACTGGCTGTGCTTCAGGACCCAGCACTCTGGCAGGGGTGGGGTTTCCCAAGGGAAACTCTTTTCTACTGACTGTTCTCCCCTGTGGGCCCCTGGCCAAATGTCCACCCCAAGCCTGACACACAAAGGATTTCTCTGACACTGCTGCTGTAGCTGGTGGCCACTGTCCTGGGATACGGTCATTTGCTTGGCCTTACCCAGTGTGACTCACACCAGCCTGGTACTTTGACCTGACTAGGGGCATTAAGAGAATGAAGACAAGACAAACTGCAGAAACAACACATACACAAAGAGAAGCTAGGCGCGAGTGGGCTGTGCATGCTCAGGTGGAGCTGTACCTGCTACCAAAGCAACCTGCAGCTTAGTGTGTCTACTGCATGTGCAGATGAGGCAGCTCGTCTAGGTAGGGGAGTCTATGTAAGCAGTCCCAGAGGAGGAAGCTGCATGCAGTTGCTCTTTTTTGCACATACTGGTCAAATGTTTTTAAAACGGTCATACTTGGAGCAGACCTCTGTTGAAAGGCTTTTCCAGTTTCCCATGGGTCTGAGGTATTATCCTTCCCTGATTTGGGCATATCCATGTCAGCTGTACACATTTACTCCTTTGTGACTCCCCACACTCACCAATCACCTCTTCCCTACAGGTGATCTTCCAGCTTCGTGCCAAACAGTGTGTGGGCTGCCAGGAGAGGGCCCATGGCACTGTCCTCCGGCCCTGCCAGCACCGTGTCTTATGCGAGCTGTGTGCAGCCAATACCCCCGAGTGCCCCTACTGCAAGGGCCAGCCCCTCCCATGGTGACCAGAGCGAGACCTATTCCTTCCCTGGTGAGCAGTGCAAAGGCCTCAGCATGCCATGTGCCACTTCAGTGTCGAAACTTGCCTCCAGTCCCACCCACGCCAGGATGTGAGTTCATGCCCACTGTCCAACAGCCTCTCATATTACTCTTTCTTCCCTACCATCTCCTACCAACGGTGTCAAGGTATTCTCAGAAAACCTTTGAAGCACCACCACCCGTCCCCTGGGCAGGTGGCATGTTTTTGGTGCCCCTAGTCATGACGCTGCTGTGGCCAGGCCAGTGGGAGGTCAGGCCTTGTCAAAGCACTTTGTAAACCGAGGAATCTAATTAGACATTATAAATTGTATAAGCTGCTTTCTAGGTCCATGTTTTTTAATATGCGATAACATGAAGCTTTATAAGTGTACTGTGAACTTGAAGTTTCCTATCAGTTTGTTGTTAACTCATAGTAATGGTAACTACGTTAGATTTCATATTCTGAAACTATTTAGGAAATGAACATTTATCTAGTAGTGAAGAAGACCTAGGATTTTTACATTTAAAATTAAGTGCAGACAAATAGTATTTATAAGCAGAGAGTGGTTATTGAGAGACACATATACATTTAGATGTTCTTAATTTTATGAAAGGAACTAATTTTCCTAAGCATGTGCAGGTGCACATGTAGATGGAGTTTTATATTCCAGTATCACAGAGTGATAACCAGAGCTCTGTCATGCACTTATGTGATCCGTGGCCACTTCCAAGTGCCTGTGCCTTGCAAAAGAAGTGAAGGAATTGGTTCATTTGGTTTTTTTCTTCTCCCTTGAAAGACAATTTCATGCTAATGAAAAATGCAGCAAAGGAACCAGACATTCAGAGGAGTCCAAGATCTACTCGGAAGGAGCTTTGTTCTGATGTCTTGTCTGTAATGGCAACGGTGCTTTGTACCCTGAGTCACCCGGGGCACCCTAGCTTGTGCTGAACAAAGGGGCTGTGAACCTGAGACTTCAGTCTGCTGCCCCTGTGATCACCCTCACTCACCGCTAGCTGATCCAGAGATTCTGGGACAGCTTTAGCAGACATCTGGTACCTGAGCTGTGCATCCAATTATGATCAGAATCCATCCCATGACGAGCAGCCCCAGCTCTGCTGCAGCTCACCCGGCAGCTTCCAAGGAAAAGGCAGCACCCTCACAGCTTGGCCTCAGGCCCATGGCTAAAATCCTGCTGAGAATGTGTCTAGGGTGATGACTTCAGCCTTCTATAGTAAGGACTGGGACTGTTCCTGGAAATCTAGGGAGGAGACATCTGTCCAGGCAACCCCTGCTTTTGGTGGCAGACCTAGGCAGGGCAGGTATCCTACCTGCAGGTTCTGCCCAGGCCTAGAAGTGGTTCTCCTCTCCCATGGCTTTGCCAAAGACTTTTAATAGCATTTTTTAAGTGCAAAGTGACTAGGTAAAACGTTTTTATCAGTGACCAAATTAGAATGTATTTAATATAGTAGGAGATTGAAACGCATTTTCTAATACAAGACAAACTGGTAGAAAAGCTCTATCATTTTAAAGGAAGTGGATCCTCAACATTCCGCAGCTAGCCCACTACTTAATAAGGTAACTATTGACCTGGTTTTAGTGATACTTCGTTTCTAATTATAGTGGTAATGATTTATTAGCTCAGTACCTAGATCATGTGTATTTCGTGCTACTGTTACCATGGTTTAAGATTGTTTATTTTTATTCATATTTATGCACTTGTTTCCCATATTGGCCTTTGGTCTCTGTGGTAACAGGACAATATTTGTGATTGGTAGCTCATCTGGACATTCAAGCTGTAACAGTTACAAGCATTAAGCTTTAGATTGTGTGTGTAAGCTACTCTGGCCAACTCCTCCTGGGCTGACATTCCGGGCTGGGGCTGTGGCAGTTATGGGACTGCTGTGTGATACATCAGTCTACGGGGTCCCACCCAGTGACAGGAGTTTTCTTGAGCATCTGCTTTCTGGAATCAGGCTGGGCTCTGAGGACAGGTGTGCAGGGGGAAGACCAAAGAAGGGGCTACTTCTCCCATCCATCCCAGACCTCCTGTGAGCTAAGGCTCCTGGGGTCTATCCTGGGTGGGAAGAGCCAAGGAGGAGAGAGATGTGTTTCAGGCCCACATATGTGTACTGGAGGTGAAGCTGTGGGTCTAGGAACTGAGGCTCACCATTGTCCTGTTGCCTATTGTCTTTTAACTCTCTAGTGTTAAATATTAACAGTTAAATGATGGTGTCAGAGTTTTGTGTACCTGGTTGGCAGACCTTTCCCCAGTGTGGATGCGCATGTGGATTAACTTATGGAAGCCTTTGTGTGCATTTGTTTTCAGAAGTTAGCTGAGAATGTTATGTGAATGGAATCTTCTTAATCCAGAAGGTCATATTTATAATACATACCCATTTACTTAGTGAATTGTTTAAAGTTGTTAACATTTGTTTAAATTTTTTTACTATAGCATTTATGCAATGGTTTACAGAATTCATGGAGTTATTTTTTATCAGTATGAGATTAAAACTTTGAAATTTATTCTGTCTGTGTTTCTGGGCACAACAAAGGCTAGCCAGCAGGTCCCTGTGTCTGTCAGTGACCCTGCCTGACCTAGAAGATGCCAAAAAAGTCATGTCCCCACCACACCAGTTCTGTGTACCCGCTGAGACCACACCTGTCCTCTCTGGAAGGACATTTGCCACTGAGGATGTTTCTTTATCTCTCCTGCCGCCTGGATCACAGGGTGTTCCCACGTAGTCCTGGATCACCCCGCAGCTGCTCTGAGGTAGCACCTGTGGGGACCTGCTGACCCAGGTGCTTAGAGTGGGTGATTTCTGCTAGAACGGGTGGCAAGTGAGACTCTGTCCTCCAACTGCTGCAGGCCCCAGGGTGGCTGGCAGCTGACCAGGGCAGACAGACTGACCTGTGGGCTGAGTGTGGGAGATTCCATGCTGGTCCAGCAGACTGGTCAGTCTTCGTACCTCCTGTGACAGCTCTGAGTGTGCCTGGACAAGAATGCCAACCCAGTCAAACCCTGGTGGGGGCTACCAGGACTAGGGACCCTGTAACCTTCCCCCTGCCCCTAAACTCTACCTTTCTACAGTTGTCCAGGGTTTCAAGCCCCAGGCCCTTGGAACCTCCTGCCTGCTGGGTGGGATGGGTTTCTCCTGGGACCTTTAAGTAGCCAGCATCCTCAAAAAGCACCCTCAGCAACTTCTCATAGCCCTGAAGGTGGAGGAGGCAGAAGGAGTACCTGGTAGAGCAGGCAAGGGGACACCCCTGAGTGTGCACCCACCTGCAGTGTGATTAGCTCGTCTGCCAGATCCTGTTCCACCTGGTCCCAGCGCTGCTGCAGGGCCTCCGACAGGGTTGGATACACTACAGACCAAGGGGAGCCAAACATTGCAGAGCCTCCTAGCTACCTTCCTCTTCCCTGGACCCAGCCCTATCCGAGGCCTACCTAACAAAGAGTGGGGATGGCACACAAGGGGGGTCTCGAATGTCAGCGCATAGACACAGGTGCTTGGCTCAGACACATGGGCCAGTCGGTTGATGTTTCCACAGGTGAGCTCCACCTGGGAAGGAAGAGAGCCTCAGTGGCTGCTGGGGGTGGGGAAGCTCTCTACCACCCACATCTCCTATGGGCCTCACCTTGCTCTGCCTGCTCCGGGAGTGGCAGGAGTCCCCGTCAGTCATCCACATGCCCTTGAAGGTATTGTTGGCAATTTCCCATTCATGCCAGATGCTGGGGAAAAAGGGTGGCAAAGCAATGATGTGGGGGCCTCAGGAGCAGACCTGACACTGCTGCCCTAGCTCAGCTTACCCAAGGATACCGCTGTAGGCGTTCCAGCGGAAGGTCTGCTCATGCTGGGTCACGTTGTGGAAAGGGCAGAACTCATACTTGTACCTGGGGACACAGGAGCATGAGGAGCTCTGCAGATCTGGACCCATTCCTCCCACCAGCCCGGCACTCACGTTGACTCCACTAGGCTGAAGCATTTGCCAGCAAGTCTGAAGAGATGCAGGGGCCCTGGGGGAGAACACCACAGCAGTTCAACTTAAGCATAAACCTCTGCTACCCTTAGAGCTAGAAGCTAAGGGAGGCAGGGGGCACCAGCCATCAAGGCCAGAAAGGTCAGATGCTGGCTGACCTAATCCCTTGGGTCACAGAACTGGTTATCTGTGGCAGGACTCCCATGTCTGTTCCTGTGGAGGGGGGCCCTTAGTTTCTGGAACCTAGACTTGGACCGCAGACCCACTGGCAAAACCAGCCACTAGCCAAGAAAGGTAGGGATGTGTGTGTGTGCACAAGTCTGCGTGCTAGTGCTATTTGGGGAAGTTAAGACAGTAGTCACGTGGCATCCTCAGAAAAACAGGACTGACTAGTCCAAAGCTTAGGACCAGTTTGCAAAGATGGACAGAGTATTCTATTTTTTTCTAAGAACCAATTTTCAACAAAGCCCACAGGCATACAAAGAAACAGGAATACATGTTCCATTCAAAGGAGCATTTTTAAATCCGGAAGATAAACCCTATGTGGCGCCAAGTACTTTTCATTCCAGTACCCTGGAGGCAGAGGCAGGTGGATCTCTGTGAGTTCAAGGCCAGCCTAGTTTACATTAGTGAGTTTCAGGATAGCCAGGACTCTGTAGAAAGAACCTCACACAATGTTTTTAAAGGTCCATAAGCCAGGGGGCTGGAGAGATGGCTCGGGGTTGTGCTCTTCCAGAAGACCCCAGGTTCAGTTCCCAGCACCCACATGGCAGCTCATAGCTATCTGTGGCTCCAGTTCCAGGGAACCCGATACCTTCACACAGACAGACATGCAGGCAAAACACTAATGCTCATAAAATTCTTTTTAAAAATCTATAGGCCAGGGCTGGAGAGATGGCTCAGAGGGTAAGAGCACTGGCTGCTCTTCCAGAGGTCCCAAGTTCAATTCCCAGCAACCACATGGTGGCTCACAACCATCTATAATGAGACCTGGTGTCTTCCTTGCCAGCAGTACATTGTATGCTTAATAAATAAATAAATATTTTTTTAAAAAAAGAAAAAAATCTATAGGCCAATAGAGAATTCCATGCTCAAGGAAACCATCCTTCACCTATGAGGGGGCTGTGAGACTCAGAAGTAGAGTGTCTGCTTTATAGATTTTGGAACTCAGACATTGTCATACATGCTTGTTACATCTTGCTAAATATACTGTTTATTAACATATGATGGCTGTCCTTTCTAAAACAAAAACAAAAAAAAACTGCTGCTACTCTTTGAGCTGGGCATTGGAGTCCATGCCTTTAATCCCAGCTCTCAGGAAGCAGAGGCAAACAGATTTCTGAGGTCCAAGCTAGCAAGAATGTCAGAATAAAAACAATCCTGCCACTCTCTGCCTATTGAATGGAGAGTTTAATTCATTTACATCAACAAGTAAGATGACAGATGTGTGCCTTTGAGCTTTTAGTCCATTTCTTCAGTGCTTGCTTTTAAACAGGAGCTGTCTTGTTACCCAGACGGGCCTCAAACTCCTGTGTTACAGTTACCCTCCTGCCTCAGCCTCGAGTACCTAGAACTATGGGTGCATACCACTGTGCCTAATTCCTCCCTCCTACTAGACACGTAACCCAGGGCCCACACATGCTATGTGAAATCTTGTTTGCTTTTGTTGTTTTGTTTTTTGAGACAGGGTTTCTCTGTGTAGCTCTGGCTGTCCTGGAACATGCTCTGTAGACCAGACTGCCTCCCAAGTGCTGGGATTAAAGGCGTGCGCCACCACCGCCCAGCTGTATTTTTGTTGTTGTTTTAAGATTTATTTATTCACCGAGTGGTGATGCTTATCTTTAACCGCAGCACTCAGGAGGCAAAGGCAGGCATGAGTTATAGGACAGTCTGGTCTACAAAGTGAATTCTAGGATAGCCAAGGCTACACAGAGAAAACACTATATATTTTATGTATCAATGTTCTGTTTGTATGTATGTATGTGCACCACATGCAGTGCCTATGGAGATCAGAAGAGGGTTTCAGGTCCTCTGGAACTAGGAGTTACAGGCAGTTGTGAGTTACCACGTAGGTACTGAGAACTGAACCAGAGTCCTCTGCAAGAGCAGCAAATACTCTTAACCACTGAGCCATCTCTCTAGCCCCTATTCTCTTTCTTAAACACTGCCTTTTTGTTGTTGTTGTTGTTACTACACTGAGATTTTCTTTTCCTTTCTGTATTCTTACAAGGCAGGGTTTCTCTGTGTAGCCCTGGTTGTCCTAGAACTCACTCTGTAGACCAGGCTGGCCTCAAACTCGGAGATCCACCTGCCTCTGCCTCCTTAGTGCTGGGATCAAAGGGTGTGCGCCACCACAACTGGCTGAGACTTTGAAATTTTTTAAGCAAATTTTTACATTATTTAATGTGACTACCATGGGGATTTAGAAATTTAAATTGATGTGGGGTTTAGTAGCACACGCCTTTAATTCCAGCACTCAGGAGACAGAGTAGATCTCTAAGTCTGAAGCCAGTCTGGTTTAGGGAGTGAGCTCCAGGCCAGCCAGAGCTACTTAGTGAGACACTGTCTCAAAAATGGGAAAACAAACAAACAAAAAAACTCACTTAAGCACAGTCCCACATAGAAAGGATTGCTGTGAAGCTCCCTCGGTCCTGGCTTGTAATTCCTTTTTCTGATTACATGTTCAAACTGGCTGCTCACTGACCCAGATGTACGGTCAGTTTTCATACATTCATGCATTGATCTTTTTCATTGCAGCCTTGGCAACCAAAGTGGTAGCATGGGTTTTCTCATCCCTGTGTCTCCAGCTACTCTATAGGAGATCTTCCTTCCCATTTTCACCCAGCTACTGTGTGGTGTCCTCTCAATTCATGTTGAGTGGTTTGCTTTCTGCTAGGGCAGGTCTGTTGATTCTCCTGCATGTTTTGTTATTTAGAAAAAGACCTGCCTTTTTGAGGCCCAGCTGAGGGCCCCAAGCATCTGTTCTGGAGTTCAAGTCCTGTGTGGCTTCTCCTAAGAAATGCACCTTAGCTGTGAGGTCAGCCAGGCTGAAGTGAAGGAGTGGAACAGACACACGGGATGAACTATGGGAGACAGGTAAGAACAAAAGCTGTCTCTCTGAAAAGATCAACAGTCCCGACACATGAGAAGCTGAGCATGCTGGTTTTATGGCATGAGGAGGCTGTAGCAGGATGGGTGTGGTGGTGCAGACAGTAATTGGGGGGTGTTATTCAGGAAAGTGTTTGCTGTGCAAGCATGAGGAACTGAGTGTGGGTCCTCTCTGCACCCACATTAAAAGCTGGATACTGGGGTTGGAGAGATGGCTCAGAGGTTGAGAGCACTGGCTATTGTTCCAGAGGTCCTGAGTTCAATTCCCACATGGTGGCTCACAACCACCTATAATGAGATCCAGCGCCTTCTTCTGGTGTGCAGGCATACATGCATGCAGAATACTTATACATAATAAATAAATAAATCTTAAAAAAAAAAGCTGGATACCTATAATCTCAGTGCTGGAGAGGCAGAGATGGGGGCATGTCTCTGGG